CCACTCTAGGGGCTATGACTTCCTGTCCCTCCAGAAATACTATTGTCATTTATCCCAGATGGACCTGGGTTGCCCACTGCTGGGAGAACAAACTCTGCTGCTCAGGAAGTGACTCCTTCGCTATAGTAAATAGGACTCAATTTGCTGTCCCCTCAAAGACTGGTCACATGGATTGTAGTTCACAAAGTTAATGTTGAGGGTTGGAGGAATGGGGAAATAAGTCAGCATCTTACAATAAAGGAGCTTTCCTATATCCCAGATACATAAAAAAGTGGTTTCAAATTTATAGACAGGGAGGGCACTCACCGTGGACACCCTGGACCTCCCTCTGTTCCCAAGTTCGAGGCCATTCTAACATACAAGGGTCCTAACTTGAGTTTACACGTGCCAGATGTGCAGTTGGCTTGCATGTGACAACAGCTGTCTGGGACCCCCACCCCAACCCACCCCGCCTGGCCTCATCCCTTGACTGGAGACCTTCCAGGAACAGAACTAGGAAAAGCACAGAGCTTTAGAAAAGCCCTGGACTCAGAACAGGAGGAAGGGAAGCTGCACCCCGAGGAGCCTGCCCCTAGAGGGCACGTTCCCAGGCAGGGCTAGCTCCTTCCGCCCACCACCATGCCCAGCTTCCGCTCACTTGGGCTGCCACACTGCCTCAGTTTAAGGAATACATTCCTTCCTCCCTCTCCGCCCTTCCTTCCTCCCTTGCTCCCACTCCCTCTTCCAGAGATTGATGTACACTATCAGGCATCCCTTTTGGAACTTATGACTAGGTCTCTTTGAGTCTGAGCTTACAAGCCATTCATGCCTTAGTTGGAATTAGGCCCTGCAGCTTCCTTTCTCACAGCATCTCCGCGAGCTTAGTGCCACTGAGGGAAAGGAGGAACTCGGGCTTAGAGGACTGGCCCAAACGGGCTGCTTTTGGGGAGCAATTAGTCAGCCTGTGACCACTGGGGGAAAGAGTAATGGGAGGTGGGAGAGCATTACGAGAAAAAAGCTAGAAAGGTGTTAGGTAGCAGCTGTGTCCACCGGTGCTGGGGAGACTGGCTCCTAACCCAGGAGAGGGGAGGGACCCAGCCCTTTGGGCCTCCACCTTGCCCTGAGCAGGGCAGCACCACCTCTGCCAAAGCCCAGAGTCTGACACTCAGTGCTCATTCAACCCCAGTTCTTTCCTGCGCCTTTTACATCTGCTGGTCTTCACAGTAGGAGTTCATCTCCAGGGCGGGGAGGCCAAGATGCAGAAAAATCTTCACTCTTAAAAAGAAGAGCTTGGCCGCATTCTTTGCTTAATTCTCAAGTAACCAAAAAATTAAAATATCAAAAGTACTCCATTCCTGAGCATCCTCATTCGTTTTAGACATGAATGTTCATCTCTGTAACGCTTTTAGAATCTACAAAATAAATGCCACATCATCCCCAACATTTGCTGTCATCAGATTATCAAAGCAGCCAAAGTTAATACTTAGTTTGAGCATTAACTCTGTGATGTTTTCATTACAGTCAGCTGTGAGTAAGGGGAGACGTAACATTTTCCATGTGGTAGAGCTTTCTCTTACCAAGACAAAAACTTGAATAACACTCCAGACATGCGTCTGCTGGTCTGGCAGTGGACAGGCCCCATTGAAAGAGGGGGCAGGGGACCCAGTTCCGTTGACTTCTGTCTGGCCAGAAACTCCGGGGCCAGGCAGCACTGGGTGCAATTCCTGCTTCTATCTGGCAACTGCCTAGAATCCACATAGTGTGAATCTTGCAGGCGAACACAGCTTGTTTCAGACCTAAGCTTTCTTTAGATTGACTAGATGTGGTTAGGCTGACATACTTCCCAAGTATTTACTTCTCTCCTTTCCAAAATAGATCCCATAGATTGTATTTGGATTATTTCTCAAGACCCAGGATTCTCACTGTGAATTTTAGGCATGTTGTCAGGGCCCTTTGAGGTGTGCAGAGCTGTTTATCTTCATCTGATGCAGGACTTCTGTGTCTTTGGACCATTCTATTTGTTTTCATGTTTCTGTTCTCTGAGGGTCCCTCTCTGCTACTTGCTCCTTCCACAATGCCTACTATTCAGCCTAGTGTGGTTGCCCATAGCCACAATTATCACACTGTTCCTAAGCTAAAATAGTTAACATTTACTCAGCACCAACTATATGTCAGGCATGTTATCAGTTATTTGTGTGTATTAACCTATTTACTCCTTACAGCCCCATAAGGGAGGCACTAGTTTAATGGTCCCCTTTCTCAGATGAGGAACCTGAAGTCAGTGAAGGGAGGCACGCAGCTGGAAGGGGCAGGGCCAGAACCTGAGCCCAGCAGCCCAAGTCCAGAGCCCTCTTTACTGCTCACCCTGCTGCCTCCAACAACAACCACATTCTGCACGGGCTGGTCCAATTCTTGCTACTGCTGTGTTCTGGAAAGCTCTACCTGTAGATCATGGAGGCCTCTTTGGAAGCACCTGGCTTTAACGTCACAGAATGAGAAAAATAAATTCAAGGGTTGATTTATTGGGAATATAATAAACTAGATACAACACTAGCTGGCCTACTCAAGAAAATAGGGAGAAAGAACAAATACAAAATTAGAAATGATAAAGGGCAAATAACCAAACATAGAGGCAACTTAGAGAAGCAAAAAATAATGTTTTATGCAGCTTTACATAATATACATGAGATTTCCAGGTGGAAATGTCAAATAAATCACTGTATATATGGGCCATAATCTTCCCCAACAAACTTTATGCAATTGTCATGTGTCACCATGAGGCAATCTCCAACGGGTGCCTCAGTGGGAGTCCCAGGTCTCCTGGTGGAGGAAGCAATCAAATTTTCCCCTACTACAGTAGGGGTCAGCAAACTTATGCCCCATGGGCCAAATCCAGCTCACCACCTGCTTTTGTAAATAAAGTTTTATTGCTATACAGCCATGCTTATTTATTTATGTTTTATGTATGGCTGCTTTCATGCTGGAACAGCAGAACTGAATAGCTGCAACAGAGATCATATGTCCCACAAAGCCTAACATACTTACCATCTGTCCTTTGCAGAATAAGTTTGCCAACCCCTATGCTAGAGCCCTATAATTTTTCCAGTTTCAGACTAATTTCTGTGTTAATTTCTTGGTTCAGGATTTCCAAACCAAGTGGGTGGTACACATTCAGACCACCCACATGTATATGCACCAGGTATGGTGTCCCTATTTCTTTCAAATATTCTTTTTCTAGCCATAGCTTCTGGGTGGACAGCCTTGAGGCCACACCTTGGATCAGTGCAATTTGCATTTTAGGGATTTCTGGCTGTCTCAGTCCATTCTGGCTGCTATAACAAAATACCATAGATTGGGTGGCTTATAAACAGCAGAAATTTAATTTTAACAGTTCTGGAGTCTGGGAAGTCCAAGATGAAGACTGCAGCAGATTTGGTGTCAGGCGAGGGCCTGCTTCCTAGTTCATAGATAGCAGTCTTTTCACTGTGTCCTCACATGGTGGAAGGAGCAAGGAAGCTCTCTGATGCCTCTTTTAAAAGGGCACTAATCGCATTCAGGAGGGCTCCATCTCCATGACTTAATCACCTCCAAAAGGCCCCAGCTCCTAATACCATCACCATGGGGGTGAGGATTTCAACATATGAACATTCAGACCACAACACTGTCTGTATTCATTTTCTTTTGCTACATAACATTTGTTTAAACACCCATTTCTTAGCTCCCAGTTCTGTAGGTCAGAAGTCTGGTACAGTAAGGCTGGCTTCTTGGCTCAGGCTAAAGTCAAGTCGTTGGCCAGCTCTGTTCTCACCTGGAGCTTGGGGTCCTTTTCCAAGCTCATTTCTATTATTAGCACAATCCAGTTCTTTGCAGCCATAGAACTGAAGTCCTTATTGTCTTGAAGGCTGTTGGCCAGTGACCTCTCTCAGCTCCTGTATGTCACTCTTGCTCGGGTCCTTGCACCATGGCCCGCCCCATCTCAGCAACAGGCAACGTCCTTCTCATCAAATCCTTCTCGGGCTTCCAATTTCCCTGCCTTTCTTTTCTGCCACCAGTCAGAGAAAACGCTCTGTTTTTAAAGGGCCCCTATTTTGAAGTCCAGCCCAAGGGATAATCTTGCTTTCTTAAAGCCACCTGTGCCCTGTAACATAATCTCATCACAGGAGTACTATCTCTTTGTTCTCACAAGTTCCACCCATAAGCAAAGGGGAGGGATTGTACAAGGCATCACTGGGGGCATCACAGAGTTCTGCCAGCCACGCTGGCCTTTTGCAGGGAGGACCATTCAACCTCCTACCGCAAACAGGCCTCAGCCCTCATCTGCAGTCCTGCCCAGGCTTGGAAAACCTCAGCACTCAGGGAATATCTTTTTCTAATACGCTCATGGGCCATTCAGCTGTAGCTCCCACTCATGGCTCTAGCTTTCAGTTCCCTCCTCATTTTCCATACCCGAGGTTTTCCTTTTCTTGCTTCCAAGATTAGCATGTATTTAAAAATATTTTTGTCATATTATAACCAGTATGTTGAGGTGTTTGGAATGGTTGGGGTTTCTTCCTTCAGCAGCATGTCAATGATATTTTCCAGATTTTTCATGTTATAGAAATATGTCCCAAGATTCCAGTCAGAGTCCATTAAGATAAGTGGGCCCTCAGGGTCTTAACCTCAGTGAGGAGTGACCAGAGTTATAGGAAGAATCAGTGGTCAGTCAGCCTGAGAACTTACCAGTGTGTTCAGGCCTGAGGGATAGTTTCTCTTTTTCATGAACTTTGCTTTATGTATCACTGGGAAAGCTAAGATGTATGGAAATTAAGGCAAGTTAATTGCTGTAGCCTTCTGAGGGAGGCCTAAATTCTTTCTGATAAAACAGGCAGATTAATGGGCAAAGGAAAGTCTTCTTAACTGGTTTTTTCCTATCCAAATGCTCATTTTCAAATAGTTCACCACCACTAAAAGCATATTTGTTCTGTTTCCATTTCAAATCTATGAGCAGTTTTCAAAGTTGTTGTTCTAATGCCTTTCTTCAGATGTGGTTGAGAAGTATTTTCAAGAGAGCATGACTCATCTTAAGGATTCTGAAGGGCGGGGAAGAGCCAAATTTCTTTCAATTCAAGATGAATTTTGCCATTTTCTACAAATGACCGGACAAAAAGAAGTAAGTGAGTTGGATCACAATCGTCTGGTTATTCACATGGGCAACCCAATTGATATCCAAAGAGCTACCCTTCAATCTGCAGGCATCCATTAAGCACCTACTATGTGCAAAGCATGTGCCAGGCTCTGGAGGGACACATAGATATGGCTAAGTGGCTCCTCTCTGGCAGCTTCTAGATACTTGCTCTTAGACACTGCAGAACGGTTTGCAAGAATGTAGATCATCATGCCCACCTGCAAAAGATCCTGGAGAACTGGAAACCTTGAGAACCCAGTGGACAGACCCTGCCTATCGCAGCCTGCAGTTCTGGCTGGGATGGAGCGTGGCACTCAGTGTGTCCGATTCCTCATTTCTCATTTTGCTTAATGGATGGAACTTGCGGATCTGATGAAAGTTCCACAGTGCAGAAGTCACAGCTCACTCTCCTTTACCATTGATCTGAAAAGGTGTGCTTTCCATGGCTTATAAAAATGGAAGAGGACCCAGAGTTTATATTCATTGGTAATTAAACCCTTGGGAACTTATTCCCTGCAAAGCCTAACAGCTACCAGGAAGCCATATACTGTGGCTCGATTTTTATATGTTTGTGTACATATGCATACATAGATAAATGCTCAAGTGCCCTGTAAAAAATAGTGTAGTATTTGCATACAACCTATGCATATCCTCCTGTGTACTTTAAATCATCTGTAGATTACTTAATACAATGTAATACAATGTGATCTAAATGCTACCTAAATAGTTGTTATACTATATTATTTTTATTTGTATTGTTTTTTTATTGTTATATTATTTTTTTCTCAAATATTTTTGATCCACAGATATGGAGGGCCAGCTGTATATGAGGGGTTTTTTGGTTTAACTCTAACTTATTATGGCAAATCTTGGAAATGAAAAACTTCTTATTTCTCTTATTTCTGTAGGCCTCCTCCCTGACAGCTCTTTCCTCATCCTTAATCACCCACCGCTCTCTCAATTAGGAACTAGGGCTTTTATCTAGATACACCCATGTTTCTCAGCCAAAGTAGGGCTACAGTCACCATGACAAGTGGAGTTTCGGTATTTTTCTGGGTCATCCACCCAAGGAAAGAGAGGCCCTCCAGAGACCTCAGATCCCCTCTCCCCATCCCAGCCATCTCTAGAAGTCTTCTGGGGAGTGCTCAGGTCAGAAGAATGGGGAGAAGTTGCTCCATCATGCCTCGCCCATCCGGTTCCTCAGTCATTTTCCCTCTAAAATGTATCTTGGCTGCACCCATTGCTTTCTGTCTCCAGCCCACCACTCTCACCTCTCGCCTGGACTGCGCTGACCAGCTCCTGCCCCCCAGCTGCTGCTTCCACACTTGCCCGTGTCTAATCCACTCAGAGTGAGGCCATGGTGATCTTCTCAGAAAGCAAATCTGATTGGTGAACACTCATTTGTGAGATACTCCCACAGCTCCTTAGTGCCCTTACGATAAGCCAGAAATCTGTGTGGCCCATAATGCCCTCCACGACCTGGATTCCACTGACATTTACAGCCTCATTTGTGTACCACCACCCCTGCCCCTGCTCCCTAATCCGTGTCCCTGCCACACTGGCCTTTTCTCATTCCCACTTCCGGGCAGTGCCAGCTTTTGTTTCCTGCCCCTGGAAGTCCCTTCCCGGTTCGTCTCCAGGCTGATGCCAACCCACCCTTCAGTTCTCTCCACCTGCCCTGATTCTTCTGCCCCGTCCTCCTTACACTCGCCTCACTAGTCCTTCCAGAACCTGGTTCGATGCAATCAGATATTTGTAAGTGTACATTCCCGTGGAGGTTTGATGTCTCTCTGGTGACTAGACTGAGTCCATGGGAGCAGGGACCCTCTTCCCTGCGGGGAGGAGTGCTGAGCAGACGGGTGGTGGGTGTTTGGCTGCAGCCTGTTCCCCCAGTCCTGTCTGGCTTCCTGCCATGATGTCTGTCACTGAGGCAGCTGATGCCAGTGTCGCTGGTGCTGTGCCTCACTGCCCTCGTCCAAGTCACCCAAATCAGTGTTGATCAAAGGATGTACCTCACTCTCCCACACCGCCCTTGGGGACTTTAGCAAACAGGCTCTTTTCATTCCAGGGCCACTGCCAGCCCCTCCAGTGCCCTCGTGAGAATAGAAAAAGCTGCTCCTTCCTCAGGTAGATAGAGCCAGTGCCAGAGTGGAACATGGGCTGGATTTCAGCCCTCCTCGTGTTCCTGCCAGGTGCCCTTGCACAGGGAACAACCTGCCCAGCCAGACGTGCCAGCCTTGTGCTCTTCTCACCCCATGGTTGCAAACCTGTCACTGTGGGGCCTAGCAGGAGTTGGCCAACAAGGGCTGGGCCCGAGGACAGTCCCAGAGACGAGCATGGGACTACATCCAGACCATCCCAAGGTGTGGTCACAGCCTAACGTGGGCACCAACAGGAAGGAGATCTTCAGGGAGAAAATGCCTTTTAAGATAAAATGTAAGTGAAGGTCACCCTGCCACAGGTTAAGATACTAAGTGTGAGTTTATCTTCTAGTCGTGCTACTCTCCTGCTCAAGAACCTTCTCTGACTTCTTATCCCTATAAGAAAATTTAAACTCCTCAGCCCATCTCGAAGGCTACCCGCTACCAGCCCCAGCCTACAGCTCCAACCTCATCTCTCTTTTGTCCCCTTCACACTCTCTCTGCTGCAGTCAAACGAGTCCACCCCCTGGCCCTAAACATGCTGTGTGCTGCTCCTGTGCTCCCAGCTGCCCTCACCCTCCTCTCAGGCCGTCTAAGACGCAGTGGATCTTCACTCCTCTCCACTAAGCTTTTCCTAGCTATCAGGGGCTCTGTTTCCTGTAACCCATGAGGCATCTCTTCCACTGTCATCTGGACTTGCCATTTAACTTCCTGCACATCCGTCTCTAGCTTCCCCAGCCAGGCTGCAAACAGCACCGAGAGCTTTATTTAGGAAAAGGAGTCTCCGCTCTTCTTTCCGTCACTGGCTCCTCAGAGCCTGTCGGACAGTTCCCACGAAAGAGTTACCAAACCCAGCACTTGCATCAGTCTAAGTCCTTGCTGTTAGGTGTTGGGAAATGTGATACGCGTTACCTTCCGGCAAGTCTGGATTTGAATTCTAGTCCCTCTTGTACCTCAGTGGGCCTCACTTGAAAAGTTACGCAGTCGCTCTGCCTCTTCAGGGATTCCTCTTCCCATCGAAGAAACCGATTTCTGCGTCATTAGCACCTTTATGTGGCCCCACACCACCCCAGCCCAAGCCCCTAACTCATGGCACTGCCAGTAAAAGGATTCAAGGCTTTGCAGCCCTGTCTGCAGTGCGCTGTCGGGACACCCGTGGGGCTGTGCCGGGGGCAGCACCTTTGCTAGTCCCTGCCTTGTTTGGCGGTGAAATTCAGCATTCCTGTTCTGCACCTGTAGCTGTGCCTTCATGTAGGAGATTGTGGAAGAATGTCTGGAGAAAGTGTGGGAGTTTTACCCCCACATGTTTTGTTGCTTGGTGTCTGAAGAAATTAATACTAGAAAATACAGTGTTCTGACCAACTCATATTTTTTATTCCATGTTGGTATAGACAAACTGGATAAACTTAACAAAATGTCATGTCAAGTTGGAATGTTTAATTTTGATTTCCTAAACTATTTCCTAATAATAGGAAAGCCTGGAGAATGTTCTGGATGTTCTGTAAGTAGATAAGTTGCCAGGGAACAGTGTAGCTTTCACTTCTGTAGTAAAGGCAGTGTGTACATAGGAAGAGGGGTGTGGAACTAAACAGTATTAAAGTTATCGGCTGGATTCAGATCCTAGCTGCGCCATGGCTGAGTGATTGGCTCTGAGCAAGTTTCCTGTCTGCTCTGTGCCTCAGTTTCCTCCTCTGTTGAATGAGAATTAAAATCGTACCTATCTGAAGAAGACAGTGAGAATTAAATGCGATCACACACATCAACTCTTTAGTACAGTTCCTGACACAAGGTCTCAACACTTGGTAGCTTTCGCTCTTACTACTCAACGGAAGTGGACTCCTGTACTAGCTGAGTTGGGTTTTTGCCACCAGATGTCATTTATGCCTTCCTCTCCATAGTTCACACCTCTCCCCCAACACGTTCTCTCCGTCTCCTGTTGCACCAGAGGAGAGTAGGCTCAGCTCAGGAGACTACCAAACCCATTCCTGTAAAAAGTGAAAATATACATCAGTTACATAATTTTTTCCCCTTGAGCCCAGGAGTTTGAACATAATTTTCTTAAGAGACACTGATCCTAATCAGCCTTCGAACTTTTCCACCAGACAACTTTTTGTTTATTTCACAGAGAGCAACCTCAATCCTGAAAGAGTCCCTGGAAGCCAAAGTGGGAGCGTTTGGCGATTTCAGTCCCGAGGTGGCAGAGACATACCGGTTCCTGAGTGGGGCAGACCTGGTGCAGGGGAACCACAGCGGGGCCCACAGGAAACTGAAGAAGGTAAGGCTGGAGCCAGTACTGATGCGAGGCCAGGCTCTCCCCGCCTCCCCATGGTCAATCTCTCTCCCTCCATGCGCTCCTTTAAATGAAACTTTGTAAGTGGCTTGTTTAGGTAAGAGGACATCACTTTTGTGGTAAATCTAAGCTAATACTTTTTGGGTAAAAGATATAGTAATCCTCTTAAGACATATATATTTTAAAAATGAATTATCAAGTAATTTTACCATGTATTTTTTATTTTTACATAATATAATGTATCAATCTTAAGTTTTATTGTACTCTTTTTGTATACTGAGCTTATAGAAGAATTCTCTTATGTTTTTTTCCATTATTATTTTTTTTAATTTGGAATTTATTTGTGTGGATGGTGTGAGGTTTGCAACTACTGTTGTCTTTTCTCCAAATGGCTACCCAGTTGCCCAGCACTGTTTCACCCAGTTGCCCAGCACTGTTTCATTAAAGAGCCCATCTCTGCGCCAGTGATTTAGGATAACACCTCCATCATATACCAAATTTCCATATGTACTTGAGTCTATCTCTGGATTTCTATTCTATTCCCTTAGTCTTTCTGTTTATTCATGTGCCAGTATCTTAGGGTTTTAATGATAGAGATTTTATAGAATAATTTAATACGTGCTAGGACTAGACACCCCTCATGGCTTTTGGGGATTCTAGATATTCTTGCACGTTTATTTTTCTACATGAATTTTTGTATTAATTTGTCTAGCTCCATAAAGAGTTTTCTGGTATTTTTATTGTATTATTTACATATAAATTTTATATATAAATTTTGAGAGAACTGACATCTCTATGATGTTGAGTCATTGTATCCAAGAACAAGGGGTATCTTTCCATTTGTTCATGTCTACTTTTGTATCTTTCAGGCACATTTAAAGGTGTTTCTCATATAGGTTTTGTACATTTCTTATTGAATTTATTTCTAAGCATTTTATCTTCTTTATTACTATTGTAAATGAAGATTTATCCATTATTATATTTTCGACTCATTTTTGTACACATGAAAATAATTGGTTTCTCTGGGTTAATTTTATATACTGCTAATAGCCTAGTTCTTTTATTGCTTGAGTTAATCTGAGCGTTGATTCTCTCAGGTTTTCAAGGTATACTATTACATAATCTGCAAATAGATACAGCTTTACTTTATGTTTTCCAGTTCTTATTGTCTCCAATTGATTTCTCTTATCTAATTGCATTGGCTCATGCCTCCCGTACAATAAATAATAAATAGTAATGGAGATAATGGACATTTTTGCCTTGTTCCTGATCTTAGTGTAAATGCCTCTAGTGATTCTTCATTGAATAGATGCTGGCTTTAGAGCTAAACTTTATATATTTTATCATGTTAAGGAAGCATCCATCAACTTCTATTTTCATAAATATTTTAAATTAAAAATAAATGTTGAATTTTATCAAAAGCTTTTTCAGCATCAATGGAGATTATCAGATGATTCTTCTTAGATCACATAATATGGTGTATTTTACTGTAACACTGAACCAACCCTGCATTCCAGAAATAAATCCCCCTTTGTCATGTTGAATTATTTTCTTAATATCATATTGTCTTAGTCTGTTTTGTGCTGCTATAATAGAATACCAGAGATTGGGTAATTTATAAAGAAAATAAATTTATTTATCACAGTTCTGGGAAGTCTAAGATCGAGGGGCTGGCATTGGCAGGGGCCACCTTGCTGCATCAACTCTTGGTGGAAGGTGGAAGGGCAAGAGAGGGCAAGAGAGAGAGAAAAGGGTGCCAAACTTGGCCTTTTGTAATGAAACCAGTCCCAACATAATGGCCTTAATCTGTTCATCAGGACAGAGTCCTCATAGCCTAATCCCCTCTCATTAGGCTCTCCCTCCCAACACTGTTGCACTGGAGCTTAAGTTTCCAACACATTCTTGGTGGATACATTCAAACCATAGCAGATGTTGATTCTGTTTGCTAATATTTATTTTAGTATTTTTGTACCAATATTTGTATGTGATATTTGTTTAAGTATTGATGTTATATTTGCTTCATAAAAATAATTTAGAAGTTTACCTTTATTTTTCATGCACTGAAAGAATTTATGTAGCATTGAAACTATTAATATCTGGTCTTTGAAGGTTTGTGTCTCCTGTGAAATGTTTAAGCCTGGTGCTTTTATTGTGGGAAAATTCCTTGACAGTTTTCTCTATTTCTTCTACAAAAAGTAGTTTGCTGAAGCTTTCTATCTTTAATGGGATCATTTTGGTAAACTGTATTTTTTTAGATAATTGTTAATTTCATTTACATTTTTGGGTTTATTTGCATAGGGATTTGCAAAGTAGTCTCATGAATTTTTAAATTTTCCACTTTTTAACAGTTATTATATTTTCCTATTGTAATTTCTTAGCTTTATATTTGGGTTTTCTCCCTTTTTCCTTGACTGAGTTGGTTTGTGGTTTTTCTATTTTGTTAATATTTTCAAAGAACTAGGATTTTAACTCTGTAGGTTTATTGTCTTCCCGTTCTCTATTTCATTAATTTCTGATTTTGTCATCATTATTGCTGGCCTGTATCTTATTTTGCTTTGCTTTGTCAAAGTTTTTTTTCCTATCTTTGTGAATTGGAAATTTCATTTGTTTTTATTTTTATTGATCTGAATGTTTATGGCTTACTATTGCTTTAAATGTATCTCATATGTTATGTGTTACATTAATTAGTTTTTAAGTGAGGAAAACCTGGCAATCTCTCAGTACCATAACTGACCAGACCAAAATAATTAACTTTAGTTTTGAGTGGGCTGTCCTGTAAATCAATCCTTTTTCTCCTTTTATGACTTTTCTGATTCTACTGCAAAAGGCACCAGATTTGGTAACATGTGTGGTACCTAATTTTTAAGGAGAGGACACATATCTATTAACAGTTAGTCAATAAATAGTTACTGGGCCCTTCTATGGGCCAGTTACTGTGCTAGCCAGACCTGGGGAAAAAACAGTGACCAGGACAAATACGCTACTTGTCTTTGTGAGTGGCCAGTCTAGCCAGGAAGGCATATACTAAATCAATCATTTTTAATAATAACGTTACACATGTGCCAAAGACACTTGTGGTGAGGGGAGAGCTGAGAAGGAAAGCTGAGGGTGGCAGTTGCTCAGTATGTCCCCATCCCTCACTTCTGCATAATCGTAGCTGATGCTTCTTGAGTGATTGTTATACCACTGGCGCCGCGTTAAGTGATGTGCGTATATTAACTCATTTAAACCCTACAGCAACCCTGAGAGTGAGTACTTCTACTCTCTGCACTTTACAAAGCAGGAAACTGAGGCTGAGAAGGAAGTGTCTTGGCCTTACTCATACAGCTAAGGGTAGTTAGAGTGGAGATTTAGCACCAGGCTGTCTGTACTGTACAGTCTACACCACACGATCATCTATTTCACATTGTGAGCTTCCAAGTAAGATTTGTTTTTTAAACAAGGGGGTCCTAGGCTTAAAAAAAAGTTTGGAATCTAATGGCACAGAGGGGAGAATGCCAAGATTCGTACAGCAGGAGTCTTTGGGTTGCCATGGGCAAAATACAGTGGAAACCAGCTCAGGTATAAAGGGGCATCTATTGTCTTGCGGTTTCCAGAGAAGGGCAGAACAGCCAGATGAGTAGCAGGCAGGGATGCAGCTGTTCCACAGGAGGACCTGCAGAAGCCACACTAACGTCCAGAGGGTCCTTTCTGCCCAGGTCGCCTCCCTGCTTCTCTGTGCACATCCTCCTCCTCCTCTCTCGTGGCGGTGTCTTCTCTGAAAATGGAGACCATGGAGAGTTTTACATCCTACCCTTGTGCCTTTTCTTGGCTCTTCTTGAAAGACCCCAGGGAAAGACTGGTAGGCCTGGCTTGAATCCAGTGCCCACCCCTGGGTCAGTCGGCTACGGCCAGCAGGGTGGTGGGCCGTAGGAACATGGTGCTGTCAAGGTAGCTGGGTGGCCCAGGGTGAAGGTGGCACAGGAGACACAATCGCATAGTCAGAAGACCTGGGGCAGGGTCGCTAAAACCCCTCCCTATTTTGGAGCATGCGCAGTGGAAACAATAGAAATGAAGCAGCCCCTTCCCTTAAGAATGTTCCAGACCAATGGGGAGGTTGCAGACTGTAACCCCCCAAGTATATTATGTGCTGAGTTCCATGCTGCAGGTCCATACTGAGGTGATGGGAGCGACGGGATTTAAGGAAGGTGTCCAGATAACTAGTTCTGAAAAAGAGTTTAGACTGGGAGAAGCAGGAATTCCCAGGTTGGGAAATGGGATGGAAGAAGGACGTTCTGGGCCAAGAGAACAAAGTACAGTTAAGGAACAAAAGGCAGTTGGGGCTGACTGGGGTGGGAAAGGCATGAGGGTGAGTCAGGCAGGTTCGTCAGGTTAAGGTGCTGAGACTTGATCCTTTAAGAAAGGGTCCCAAACTACGGCCCCAGGCCGAATCCAGCCCTCCACCTGCTTTGTGTGGCCCTTGAGCTAAAAATGCTTTTTACAAATGATCATTTGCAACCAATTTGATTCTAGGAGACACTAACTTTGAACTTTGACTAAGTGAAGTATCCTCCCCGCAAAAGTGAATCTATTCTTCTCATCAGTAGAACTGTATCGGGGAAAAAAACTGCTCATTATTATATCTTGAATTTCATCAATCAAAAAATTTGTGGAAATTTGTTCTCTCTTATTGTATAAGTCTTGTACCTACCTCATAGCCTCGATTTTGTCCCTTGGACCACAAAGCCTACAATATTTACCATCTGGCCCTTTGCAGAAAAAGTTTTCCAAACTTTGCTCTAAGCAGCTGGGAGCTGTTGGGGGTATTTTAAACAGGGCACAAAAGGTCTGTAGTTGTCTTTTGGATTTGTAAGAAAATCACTGTGAGGCTAATGTTGAGAAAGGAATGGAGTAGACCAAGAGTTGATGCAGAGGCCTCAGTTTCCTCATCTGTAAAATGGAGATAACAGCAACACCTGCCCTCATTCCTTCCCACAGTTGTTCCA